GAGCAGGGGTGCCCAAAATTTTTGTATACTGCTTTATATGATATACACAGAACGGCATGTATAAATGAGGTAATAGAGCTGCTAAGCATTCTTGATTGGCCTTTACACATTGTTCAATCATGTGCCCGGTCATATCAGGCACATCATTTAAAACACAACATTTCTACATTTTTACCTATTACCGCCCACCAGCAGACCAAACTGGGTTTAACAGGCATCTGATCTACAGACCTAGAGCAAAATGAAATGGCCAGATTACCTTAGATTTTGGAAATGAAGGTCTATTTTAGAGCTGCCATTTGGTCAGATTCAATCTGTTTTATTTTTATTTTATTAAGCTGCACAATTAAGCTTTACATCGCAGTTTTACTCAAATCCAGTTCTAATTTTTCATAACATACATGTTATGTAACATCTGAAATATTTTGATCAATCTAGATAAGCTGTTAATATTAATTCCATAATCTTTTCTTAGTAGACCTTATTTAGGATCTGTTTGTTAGTCTAAGCTGTATGAATATTTTAAATATAACAAAATACTACATAGACACACAATGAAAATGGCTTTTTCGTACAATCACTTGAAATGAATGTTATCTACAGTGAAATCTAGTGTTAGTATAATATTACAGAATTAAAACTGTTCATCATTGTCAGGCCAGTGTTCTAGTTTCTGCTAAAGATGTAGTCTACAGGAGGCCATGCAACATTTTCCACTGACGTGCCCTGTGCCTTTTCAGTAACTTTAAAGCTGCAGTATATAAGACTTCTTTTGTTAAAATTGAAAGAAGTGGCTTTACTGAGTGAGGAAAAAAAAATGCTAAAATATGGCATGTGTGCGCTGCTGTGAGATGCCCTGTAAAACGTGAAATAGTAATTTAAAAGTCAGAGGACTTGGGTTAGATTTTGCAGGAGTTTTTGGACCGTGTCATACATCTTTATGTATTAACATCACACTCATAGGTTTAAAAAGAAGCTCCGGTTCAATGCTTAGGTCTCAAATGCAAAACCAACACTATACTGATGAAGATATGATGACAGTAGCAGATAATTTACTCACATCCTCGGAAAACATATAATTTTGACTCTGCCTTTGAACGTTTTTCCGCGCATTGCATTGTTTTCACCAAAGAGGTCTCCAAATCCCCAAAACATACACAGTGTAAATTTAAGTAAACTATAAAGATTAAAAGAATAAAATAAAAATTAGAGCAAACGCCTAGATGTTTTCTAGAGCCAGAGGCCCTGTCTTCCCCTAATGACTACTTCAAATATACAATGTATATGTCTAGTAGCACAATCTATTAAACCTTATATATATGGAAAGGTTTAATTATATAATCGTTTTTTTCTGCATTTTTAGTCACAATCAAACTTGTATTAACACCACTAAAAACGAGAAAAGAAAGCTAAGAAAATAAATTTTATTAAAAAAAATCTGATACCTTCAAATATTTGAATAGTTTCTGATGCTCTTAGATCAAGTTAAGTTATAACCATTACACAAATCAATAGCGGCAGTTGTCTGACAGTTATGATTACACAAATCAGTGACAAGAATACAGCCAAAGGTATTGTGGCAGGACTAAGAGGTCAGCCAGCGCTCAGTACTGGCTGATTAAGTGAAAGAGTGGACAGTAAGGGAGTCATGCCCAACCAGATGTTAACGTTTAAATGCATTTAAAAATGAATGTACAGTTACTGTGGATGAAGCACTCCTGCACACACAGATCTGTACTTGAAGTTCATGTGAGGATTGTTGTGAGTGGGAGTTGTTTTTTTTCCTCTAACTTCTAACATATGGGAGAAACTGAAGCATAAATCATGCTGCTTGTTTATATTATTGCCACCACAAGTAAATTATAACAGAGAATCATACAGTCATGTTTATGTCTACTGAAAAACCACTCAGACACATCATTTTAGACAGTTCAGTGGCATAAAGTTGGCAGCAGATGTCACGTGCAGTTGTTTGGAAAATAAATCATTTTTATACATCCGTGCATTTAAGATTACATCTTAGATTTAATTTGAGATTATGTAAATACATGCTGCAAATTTGCCAACTCAAAAGCAACTTTTCAGACCACAAGAATAACAGTTTCCTGGAAGTATTTGTCTGCCTCTCGACTGGCAGACAGTAATGTTAAGCAGTGTCTTCTTGTCTGTCCTAGTTTGTCCCCATTTCAATCAAACAGAAAGATCAAGGGAGAAATTGTGAAAATTTGGGGAAATGAACAAAGGTTGATTGAGGTGGATTTCATCTGAGGTACCAGGCAACCCTATCTGTGTGGCAATGGTTTATAATGGACTATAATGTTGAGAAACCATGTTCTCCTTACAGTTCCCTGGAACAGCTGAGAAAAGAGCATTATCCTGAAACCCTACTCCGCCTGGCCCGCATACAACAATAAAGGGCAGAGAGAGAGACGGAGAAACTCTTGAGTTTCGTGTGATGGTCCAGAGGATGCCATTCAGTCGCGTAAGGTTAGACGTTTTCCTTTTGTTTTCCAATATCTCGGGGAAGAAAAGGTCAAAAAACACTCACTCACCAACACTACGTATTATGACAACAGACACAATTCTATGTGTCCTTTGGACAAGAACCTGAAACTCGTACGTTAAACTTTTCCCAGCAGCCTCCATCTCTTATCTCTGCTGAGTTCTCTGAGTATTTTGCTTTTTTAGCTTTATTATCTGAATATGATAAAACAGTTCCAATACAACGAAAGAAAGGAAGAAAGGAAGTAAGCCCGGGAATGGATGTCATGAGGGCATGAAAGAGCAGTGCCAATTTCACCCAAATCAACACATCACAGAGTTTTTTGGAGAGAATGTTCAGTAAATGGTTCTATATAGCACCTTTTTTAAAAGGGTTCTATATAGCACCAAAAGTGTTCTTCAGATTGATGAAGAATGTGCTGTAAATAGTTTTGTATAGCACCTTTTTGAAAAGGGTTCTATATAGCACCAAAAAGGGTTCTTCTGTTGATATAAACTGACATTGTAACAGTAGAAGAACCCTATTTGGTGTTATATAGAAACCTTTTCAGAAAAAACGTGCTATATAGATCCATTTACAGCACATTCTCCATTAATCTGAAGAACGTTTTCACAATGAAAAGAACCCTTTAATCATGTAAAGCGTTCTGTAAGTGTTCATGGTGCTATATAGAGCCATTTTCTTCAATAAAGAACCCTTAATTTATGTACTTTATGTATTTTATTAAGTTTAATACATACAGCAGTCATACTATAAATCCAAACATTTGTAGACACTGACGTTCCTTCTGAAATCAAGGATATTAATAAAGAGTTTGTCGCCTCTTTTCTGCAGTAACAGCCTCTGCTCTTCTGGCAAGGCTTTACTCTAGATGTTGAAAAATTGCTGTGAGGATTTGATTGCACTTAGCCACAGGAGCATTGGTGAGGTCAGGTACTGATGTTGGATGAATAGTTCTGGATCATGGTGGTCTTTGGCTTGTGCAGCTGCTCCAGAGCATCTCACTATACTGACAATGCTTTTCTAAGTAGATTATAAAAGCTGTATGTGTGTAATTGAATGTTTTTGGACTCACATTGCAAGCTCTGTTAAGAATTATCTGATCTCTTCTCAAAGTTGACCAATGACCCCCTGTAGCACTGCAATCATGACACTGAATATTGTCCAGTGTTTATGTAATTCTGCTTCTGATCAAATGTAGTGCAGCATCTGGGTACTTTTTGGTAACCATTTAGGGCACGTTGTTCTGTCTGGAGTCCCACTTTGGCACACTGTTTAGAGTGGAACTGTGACGCTGCCGACACTGCTGTAAAATATAAGTCAGTTTTTCCAGTCCTGAAGTCCACCTGCACTGCCAAGTTTAGCATTTCTTTGCTCTAATACATCTGAATCAGGCTTGATCAGTAGCTAATGGTGTAAGTGGTGGGAAGACACAGAAGTGTGAAAGGTAGGTGGAATACAGAACAAAATAGTAACCGGTTTGGAATCTTGCAGAAATGACAGAGTCGTTAGATTTTATTTATACCCACACCTGGTGGTTTCCAATCCTGGAGACCCAATGTCCAGCACTTATATTTTCCCTGCTCTAACACTTCCACTCAGGGCAGGATTGTTCATTAGCTGATTTCTTGGATCAGGTGTGTCACTGCAAAGCAAAATATGCAGGAACTGAACCAAGACTATGCAAGGCATGGTAGACCTCCAAAACTGTACATAGAGGTAGGAGAAAATCAAGCTCCACCCCTGCTTCAGATCTGAAAAAAATCCACAGGCGTTTCTGTTCATCCTTCTACAGAGAGAAGACAACTCAACGCTACAGGTCTGAAAGGATGTGTGGCTGTCAAGAAGCCCTTACTGAGAAAAGGAAATAAACAAAAAAATCCCCCAAAAATAAAAAGACAATTTGGAAATCGAACAAAGAAGCTTCAGGTGCTGTCAGGACAATGGACTGACCACTCCAGTCCAGACCTCAATATCACTGAATATGATGGGGATTACTTGGATTGAGAGAAGCAGAAAATGCAACCGACTTCTGTTTTTTTATGCTGAAAAATAAATAACTTGTACTAACGAGTGTTGTTTTTGTACAGTACTGATTATCTAATAAATATACGAGATAATATATAACTACATAAACCCTAAACACCAAACTTTTTAACACACACGCATATACAAGTATATATATATATATATATATATATATATATATATATATATATATATATATATATATACACACACACACACACATATAGAAAGAATTAATTTTCACTATCAAACATCTGAATCCTCTGTAAGTGTAAAGTGCCTTCAGCATCTGCACGATCTTCTTGGACTCGCTCCATCACCACCACGAGGCTAGAATGCAGACCGAGTGGGCGGGATTTCATGGACCAATCCTGCTGCTCCGAGTCGCTGATTGACGTGGCGGCACTGGCCAATCCGCTTCAAGCACTGTCCTCTATAATAAAGCTCACCGCGCACTCGCTGTGAGAGACGCGAAAAGACAACACGCGCTGCTGAGAGGTGTGATCAGGCTGAACTGTGAGGGAGCTTTTCTGTTTGCTGTGTTTCCTAATTTCAGCCTCTAAGAGGGCAGAAAGGCTCTGCTGTCCGCCCACGATGAAGGCGATCAGTCCGTTGCTGCCGCTGAGGCGGACACCGTCCCACACACTGGAGCGAGATCTGGGCGTCTGGAGGAGCAAAGGCGGCGCGGAGGAGCCGCTCGGTCTGCTGTGCAACATGAACGACTGCTACAGCCGGCTGAAGGAGCTGGTGCCCAGCCTGCCGCAGAACCGGAGCGTCAGCAAGATGGAGATCCTGCAGCATGTCATCGATTACATCCTGGACCTCCAGACCGCGCTGGACTCCAGCTCGGCCTCCGCCGCTCCGCAGCAGCAGGAGCAGGACTGTGTAGCTCCAGAGAGAGCAGTGATTTCTCTCCACGCTGTCAACGACACGAGCTACTCTCAGGTAAACAACGCACACAGCTCACTTCTGCTGAACTCACTCAGACAGACAAGAAGACCTTTACATACACGACGCTGAAAAACACTGTACTGAGTTATGGTCGTGAGCTGAACACAACAGTCACCACTGTTGAATGAACAACTACAATGTTGAATTGACTCGGAGTGTTTAATTGACTCTTACAGGGTTTACAGGATAAATTCTTAGCGTTAAATTGATCTACAGTGTAGGATTGATTTATAGTGTACACTTGACTCTTACAGTGTAAAATGGAATATACAGTGAAATTTACACTGCTGTATTGACTTACGGTGTAAAATTCCTACAGTGTTGAAGTTGACAGTGATTTACAGTGTTGAATTGGCTCTTACAGTGTTAAACTGATGCATGTAGTGAACTGATTCTCACACTGCAGAACTGACTTGACTGACATTGTTGAATGTTGACTCTTACAGTGCTGAATTAGCTTATACTGCTTTCATTTAAGTCATTCAGCTAAGTTCAACACTTCATATCCAGCTGGATTTAAATAAGCATTGTAAGAATCATTCAGCACTGTGTTTTTCAGTGTGTGGCTAAAGCTCACAAAAATAACTAGTAATAACATAAACAATAAAAGTATTATACACTAGTGATACTGTGATCATTTATAATACTTTTTTTCCATGTGAAATTCTTCTAGTACTGTCTCGAGGTAATATAGCCTTAAATATTAGTGTAGTACAACACTGGTAAACACTGGCAACTGTCCTACAGGAATCCAGCAGAAATTCCTGTAGTAACACTAAAGTTTTTGGGAAGGAAAGAAAGAAAGAAACAAATAACAGAGTTGATTTTTGTTGTTTTTGCAGTCCAGTAACTGTCCAAGAGAAATTACCTCAGATGACCACATGACTATCCCTCGCTGAGCCTGAACTGGTAAGACACCCTCACATACAGTAGCTAACAGCAGTAGTACAAAAGTATAGCATAATGGGAGCTTTGATAGTTTGGATATTTATGAGCGTAAATCATAAATGATTTTTCAGTGTTCAGTGTCAAGGCTATGTAGAATTGTAGAAATAGGTTTAAACAAGAGCCGCTCGGACTGTTATCAGCTTGTTCTCCTCAGTGCCCGGTGTTTGCTGCTGGGTTAAAAGTCTGAAAAAAAAAAAGAACTTGAGCACGGCGGCTTCCTGTCTGGCGCCAGTCTGTCCGGATCTCTGTCCTTCTGCTCCTTCTGACTTAACTAAACACGCCTCCCTCTCTCTCTCTCTCTCTCTCTCTCTCTCTCTGTGCAGGTGTTTCGGTCATGGAGCAAAAACAGGACCTTTTTTGTTATTCCTCTGTGTCCTTTGCCTGGACTTCGTCTTGAATGACATGGATTTCCCTCAAACGGAGATGAAAAAAAAAAATGTTCTGTGTGATTTTTTTAATCTATCTTTATATTTATCTACAGGCTGTATACTTCTTTCTTCCAAAGGAAGATTTTGTTACAGGACTTACTGAGATGAAGCAAAATGAAGAAATCAACTTTATTTTTTCTTTAATGCCTTTTTTTCCTCTTTGTTAAAGTGTAGAGTATGTGATTACAGCCTTGGTGTGGAGAGAGCACTTGTAATAGTGCAGCCCTTCAGGAGCTGAACTCTGAGTGTTACAGCAGGGACTCGGTGAGCTGCCCAGAGCTGTGGCCTTCAGGGAGGGCAGCTTCGCCTGGGCTCCCTCATTGACCTGCACATTTTAGTGTTTTCCCTGCTCTAGTGCACCCAGTTAACCTCCTGAAGGGTTATTGATGAGCCGATGAGTTGACTCAGTTGCGTTAAAGCAGGGAAAGCACTGAAATGTGTAGAGTGTCTACATGGCCAGGCCTGAGAAACCAGAACTAAATGGATGGCATGGATGAACAGCTTTTAAAACAGTTCATCTTGTGCTGTGAGTGCTGTACAGTGAATCAATGTTTTTTTCCCTTTCTGCTGGAATGTGACATTTGTAATGCTATAAAATAATTTTATAAAAGTAATGTAAAATTGCACTTTTTATATAAAAATAAATATGATGTAGGTAACGAAACTGGGTTGTCGTCTATGTATTATCCTGGGCCTACAGCTTAAAAACACAATGTACATTTATAAAATAAATGATGCAGACCTTCACACTTTGTATTGTCCCAGGCCTAAAACTTGACCCACTCAAGCCATCTTAAGTCCATCACAGTTTGGTGACCTCCCTACTCCAACACGTCTGCTAAACCTGGTCATTAACTGTTGAGTTGAACCAGGTGTGTTTGAACAGGGAAATCACCAAACTGTGCTAGACTCAAGGCCTCCACGACCAGAGTTAGGAACACATGCACTACATTCTGATATCCACTGTGAAACTAAAAATAACCATGAACATTAAAACTAGTCCACAGTAGTAAATGACAAGCCTCCTTTAAGTGGTCTGTGACAGGGAGAACAGACCATGATTCCCTTTAGGATAATCTTTCAACAACTATGGTCATTCCTGTATATTGTTAGTTTTTTTTGTGGGGGGGAGGGGGTCACCGGTGAGCTGTGTAGATGTTAAATGTAAAGATATTTTACACAAGATTTGCTGCAGATTCCACTGTGGACACAGTATACAACTGAACTGTTCACTACACAATACATGTGCCAAACAGCCTCTCTCAATATCAGTTGTATAGATAAGCTGTTTAAAGTAAAGTGATCTGATGTGAAAAGATTCCATTCTACAGACTCTTGGAAGTCTAAATTGTTCACAGTGGTGAAGAACTAGACACCTAAGGGGTTTAATGCCTTAAAAAGCTACATCGCATAAAGTCATTATACAAAACGGTTAGGAATATGGTGCCTGAGACATTGTTTTATGATAGTTTATGATATGATAGTTTTGTTTGCCACTGTTACATATAACGGCGGCACGGTGGCGCAGTGTGTAGCGCTGTCGCCTCACAGCAAGAATGGCCTGCGTTCGATTCCCGGCCGGGTGACCAGGGTCCTTTCTGTGTGGAGTTCATGTTCTCCCCGCATCTGCATGGGTTTCCTCCGGGTACTCCGATTTCCTCCCACAGTCCAAAGACATGCAGTCAGGCCAATTGGACATACTAAATTGCCCCTAGGTGTGAGTGTGTGTGTGAACGTGTCTGTCTGTCTGCCCTACGATGGACTGGCGACATGTCCAGGGTGTATCCTGCTTTCTGCCCAATGATAGCTGGGATAGGCTCCCGCAACCCAGAAGGATAAGCAGTTTAGATGATGTGTGTGTTACATATAAAAGAGGAGACATGTAGGTCCAATGTAGGTTTTTTTGCATAATAAATATAATTACTATATTTGTGTCGTGGATAAGGTAATGCCTGGGGCCTCATTTAAAAAAAAAAACTTTGCTCTTAAATTGTTATTGTTTACCTTTAAATGGTTTATAAAAATACAATGTTCATGAATCGGTGTTGTAATGACTGTAGTACATCGGCATTGCCATTATAAATTGTTGTACTTCAAGACTGGAAATTTGTGTCAGAAATCACTACTTAAGTGTCAGGTTTCACCTTTGATCATGTTAGGATCAATCTGTGCATACGACTGTTTTATAAATGAGGCCCCAGCTCCTATCATCACAACTGTAAAGAAATCCGAGTTGCAATGTTTCTCAACAATTATGTAATTCCCTTTTAATCCAGACACGTAGACTTTGGTAGTTGTGTAAAAGGTGTTCACAAAGACACTTTTGAGAGTTGACGGAAAAAAAAGCTCAAAATCTTGAATATGTTTATGTAGGACTGTTAAAACAAGTAGGTTTATAAGGTAGAGGTAGAAAAAAAAGTTAGGAAAAAGTCTGTGCAGCACAGTATCTTATCATTTATGGTTTATTTTGTTGCAGACAGTTCTCACATATCCCAATTTCCTGTCTGGCATGTATCACAAGTACACAGAAGAGCTAAAGTTAACAGTACAGTGCATGCAACACCTAGCCTGTTGTTTCAGACAATTAATGCAGTCAGACACATGCATGTCTCTGCTCTACATGCTCACTGCTACTAATCTTCTACTTCAGAGCTTCTTAAACTATTGCCCAGGATCCAAAGCAGGATTCAGGTATGTGACTGATGCAACATGATATACAAGAACAAATGTAGTCTTGAATACTATTTCTTAACACCTTTTGTCATCAGATGTAATTTGGTCCTTAGAGTATGATTAGTTACTTTTGTCCTGAGTGTAAGATTTAAGAAACTCCGTTTAACACTGACGGGGTGCAGATAACATGCAACTGACGTGATTCACCATGGCACAACATTTCACCACTAACAATTAGCACAAGGATCTGACAAGGGTTTGGATAATTTTGGCTAAAAATTTTGGACAAGGTTAAGCCATGCTTTCCTTTAGGGTTAGGTTCAAATAAACTGTCAGTCATGGTCAAGAAGACGAGATAACAATCAGTTGACTTTATATATTAGTTCAACTAACATGCCAATATTTATAGCCCACAATAATAATGGTGTTCTTTTACAACCTGGCATGACAGCTTATGTCCAGTGTGGTCAATTCAAAAATTTCAAAAGGATCAGAAACAGAAGCAGTAATACTGTTAGACATTAGGAATTTCACAAAAAAGAATAGTTTAAATAAGAAATTGGACTTGAACATTAGTAGACGTATTCCATGAGTGACGACATGGACAGGGGATCACTTTTCACAAACGGAGATGTAGGCAGCATTGCTGGCAGTAAACTACAGTGGGCAAACTAGCACTAATTTAACACTGAAATACATGGACCTCACTGAACCACTGGAATGACATGTTTAACTGGGCATGCATCACTTCACATAACAACATCAAACATCCAAAGCTTGAGCGGAGACTCTGCTAGGACCAGGGTGCAGCTTCTCAGAGGATGCTCTCGCGCTCTTCTCCAAAAGTGACCGTGTCAGAGGTCACGGCGCAAATTTCTGGCGGGTCTCCAGGATTCAGGCCTCTCTTCAGGTGCACCACACGAACGTTCTCGTTGTGGGTGGTGGATGTGGAGGAGGTGTTGGTGCTGGAACCAGGAGCTACAATGACCTCACTGCCGGTGGTGTTGGAGGAGGAGGTGGTGTTGGAGCTATCACCAGGCTGGCGTGGGCGGTTCCCCTGCTGAGCATTGGTATTGTTGTTGAGGGTGGTGTTGCTGGGCGTGCGGTTGAGGTTGTAGTTTTTGGAGGAAGGCCAGCTTTCCTCAGGGCTGCTGGCCAAGAGGCTGCACTGATCCTCAGAGCAGATAGACATGCGTGCGACCGTCGGGTCCTGGAGACCGCTCAGGCTGTTGGGCAGGCCTCTCTTGCGGGCAAGGCTCTCCTCGTCCAGCTCGATCAGATTCGTCCTCTCGGACTGCGACAGGTCAGCCTCCTCATCTTGGAGGGAGTGGTTGGGTGAGCTTTCATTAGAGCGGACGCCCGAGTCAGATGAGTCCTTCTTGTCCAGCATCCCATCTGAAAGGTACTCTTTGCCCTTTGCTAAAGATCGCTCTTCGCTTTCTGTGCGTTTAGGTTCTGGTTTCTTCCCATCCTTGAGCAGAGGGGCGTTGTCAGACTCTTCTGACTCTTCATCATCACTGGTCAGTTTCTGGTAGCGCAGCCCACCTGCAGCTTTCAGCTTCAGGTCAGCGCTTTGGAAGAGCCCCACCTTCTCTCCAGAGGTCTTTCGTCCGAGCAGGGACTTGGAGGAGCCGTGGTCTAACTTCTCGTCTTCCTCGCTGATGGGGTCTAAAGTGGCAGCATCAGTTGCAGCAAAATCAGTCGCATCCACTGCTGGCTTCCCACCACTGCGCTTTGAGTAGGACTTGCGTCCGTCTTGATCTCCCCCATCCTTGTTCTTGTCTTCAGAGTTGGAGTGCATAAACTGGCCTGGATGGGGCTGCACAGGCTTTTCTGCCCCACTGCCTGCAGCTTCAAGCTGGGCCATTGAGGCAATGTACTCTTGATAGGCATTTCGGTACTCTGCCTGCTGCTTGTCAGTTAGCTTGCAGATGTCATTGGAGGACTCCTGAGAGTTCAGGCTGGACATACTGGGAGTACGATGGGTAGTGCTCTGCAGAGGGCATAAGATATTGTGAGAATTGTTCATATTGAGCAGTGAAAAAGGGATCTCCAAAAGATATAACAACACTCACCATCCATGGAGGGTTGGTATGCCTGGGTTGTTCATCCAGGCCCACATTTGAGAGCTCTTCAAAGCTCAGGTTGAAGTTGTACATGGGTGAGGTTTCTGTATTACCAGGTCCTCCATGTCCTGAAGCTCCACGATGCCTGACAGGCTCTCCGTGACCCACCATGCTGCTGCCTTGCTCACTAGGAGCCTCTTCATGCAAGACCTGGCTCTCCACATGACGCATCTCCATGACCTGCACACAAAAGCTTGTCATTAAAAACCCTGCCTTTAGTACACCTGCAGCTGGCAACTTGTTTTTGGTATCAAGGCCTCTCATTCAGAGATCATAAACAGAAAACTCATTTGGCTGCAGCTGGTTTATTTGACTTGTTCCAAAAGCAATTATTTTGATATTGTTTGAACATTCAGAGTCTTTTTAAGAGATTACAAATTCTACACAAATTCTACACATGAACCCAAAGGGTCGCCACTGGCAAGAGTAAAAGAACTTAATCAATTTAAGTCTATAGAATCAGACAATTCTGTGTACTGCCACGTTTCTATCACTGTATATGAAAAAGGCTTCCTTTATAGCTGGACGCACCTTGAATTTTTCAAGTGAGTTCACTGTTAGGATCAATAAGCATGTATTGTTTTGTTTAATCACAGTAAAGATAAAGCACAACTAATGTGTAATTTATATGTTTCTATTCATGTGCTTTCTTGTTCAAAAACATAAATAAAAACTAAATAAAAATCACAGGATTATCAGCTTTGTTAGATCACATTCCTTACTTATATAAAAGCCACAGCATTAAGAATTTGCGTTATCACTTAAAGGAGTAGACAAAATGACAGAAATAGGCACTTTCACTTCAGCCTTAAAGGGTCAAGTTACAGATTTTATACAGAATCAACATTCTGCCAAGTATAAATAC